TATTACAGAAAGGCTACTAAATGAATAAGATTTGTTAGATCATAATTAATAAACCCAAATAAAGTTAATATTTTTTGTATTAGAAACAACGAGTGGAAAATCAGAATTCTAATTATGAATCACCACAAGCAAAATATGCAATTTTTTTTACTGTATTCAATAAGTAAAAATCATAAATTGTAAAACTAAAAGATTACAGAAAGGCTACCTACATTTTTCAACCGATTTCAACAAAACTTCACTTTTTTTTTTTGGCATGTAGTGTTTCTTATTGTCTTGCTTATTGTCTCAATCGGGAGACTCATAATGATTGAAAATGTTTTTGTTTGAGTTTGACCAATTTGTAAAAAAAAAAAAACTAATTAAGACATGTGTGTCCATCAACCTTAAACAATAATCTTTGTCAATTTTATTTTTCAGTCTTTATGATGGTGGATACTTGATCTATCTCTTACTGTTATATCCCCGGGCAACGCCGGGCTCTACTGCTAGTATTTTATGAATGTAAACTTTTGGATTTCTGTCTGAATTTCTGGGATGAGGAATTATCATTATTTACACTATTTACATGCAGACTCATCTTTGTCAATATCACAATGTTTTGGCTGTTGTGGTCTACAGCCTTCATCCGAGTAAACTATCAGGAATACCAAACTGAACTGAACTTTTTAATTAATCAACGGGGGTAAACTGTTCTCATTTACTGTCCATCTTTAGGGATATCTTGACTTGTTTTTTTTAGGTTTTCACTTAGTTTATCGCACCCGGACGGAAGTTACTGCTGGCTACTCAAACATCTAAAAGCGTCACCGTGGAAAACAGAACGAATGCCGTTAACTTCCGGTGACTCAGCGTTTTCAGAGAACGACTCACAAAAAACTCAAAACAAACGAAACATTAACATACACGAGCCTTCCTAACTAAAAATAATTACCAGAAACTACTTTATATACATATGGTGTCCGAATGAAACCCATGTGTACAGTCAAAATGTAGAAGGTAATTTTCAGTCATCACCCCAACCAGCTACGATGCCGATCTGAGCCTAGTTAAACATAGCCGATTTCTTCCGCCAGATATCTCGGCGGATTTCGGCCTCAGGGTAGAGCGACGAGCTCCCCCTCTCACCTTCACTGACCACATGAAGCAGCCAAACCTAGCACCAGCAGCCGACCGAGCCAACTTTAGTAGCAGCAGCAGCAGCGGGCTGACCCAACTTCAGTAGCAGCAGCAGCGCCCGGCTACATGATATGCACTAGTCCTTTTCAGGACTATACTCGGCTACATGATATGCACTAGTCCTTTTTAGAGCTACACCTAGTTACATGATATGCGACTAATATTCAGGACTAATCTAGCCACGTTATTACAAATGTCTTTTTATTAGAACTACCAGGCTGCGATCTTGCACGACTGTCATACCTAGGATGAACAGACTACACAAGTGTTGTTCACATCGATCCTCTCTCTTCTTAAGTGCCGACGTGCTCTTTACAAAAGAGCAGACATCCGGGGATCGACTGGACCTCGAACATCGCTGTTCCATCGGCCTACCTCCGAGCTGACGCTTTGAATTCTGACAACACTCCTTCAACTGACGCTCTCTAACTTCATGACTGAACTCCAGCAAACAATTATCTGTACATACTTTTGCCAGATTATTAAATAAAATTTGGCTTAAAATTTTACATCCTTGCCTTTGTTGTCCTTGCTTCGATCGTATTACCCTACATTATTTTTCTGTTTGCGGGGTTAACAGGCACCTGCTTAACGCCGCAACAAGTTCAAGTACACACCATACAATGCTTAATTTTTAAAATAAAATTCAACTAGGATACTTTAAATTGCATTAAATAAATTAGTTAGTCTGAAAAGATATGATTATTCAATGTTAACTGTGTCAAAAAGCTCACAATTTGCATAAAAAATAAAAGAGATGCATTAAATGTGTCCAAAATACATTAAGTTTATGTGGGAGTAGGGATGAATAGAGACGTAAACTGTTTTCTGTTAACAAGTCACAAGGATGTTCTTATTGCTCCCCTACTAATAATTCACTTTTGTCATCTCATAAGGAATATTATTTTACATAACATGCAATGATTAAAAAATGGTTTACAAACTGTACACATTTTCATTAACTATTCTTAAAAAGTAGCACAGAATGTGACTCGAAAAACCATTGTCATTAATTATTCAGAGATGAAAAAAAGTTACATTGACTCAGAGAATTGGCAAAATTAAATGTGACATACTTGGAAATTTAAAGTCAGTATTCAAATAAAGATTTTTCAAGATTCTTTTTTATTGATAAAACTAGTATTTATTTGGGGGATTTATTTTTTTATTGCTTGCATGAAAAAATTGTTTATCTAAATTAAATTTCTAAAAATGTTCTACCAAGACAAATTATTCTACTTACTTTTCATCAACATAAGAATAAAGAAAGAAATTTTATTTTTAATGCTGATATTTGCAGTTAATTGGGGAACAATAAATTGTGTGGATTAGGTGAAAATGCAGTTGTGAATTTGTTGATCTGATGTTACAAAATACAGCTGGATATAGAAACAGAGGAAGCACCTTTTTCCCTGGGAGTCAGAGAACAGCTTTTTAATGAATAGAGCAAAGAGGGGGAGCATACTCTATTTTGGAGGTTGGGAGCTGCACCAAAATTTGAAGAGTATGTAAAGCCCTGCTAGTAAGAAATTACTTTTTTTTTTAATCACTCCACTCCAAACAAGGTGATAATGCCACTAAGACAGAAGCAGCTACTGGGAGTGAAACAAAATGAGAAGACTTTAGAACAATGATTCCCAATGTAGAGTGCATGCTCCACTGGTAATATTTTGATGGGGTATGTGTAGGATGTGCACCCTTCAGCTTACTATACCAACAGAATAAAGGGGCAATTCGAGAATGAGTTATTAACAGTGAATTGTTTTCTCGTGAGTCTGAGTAAGAGTGTTAATGTGTGTTAATACATACGTTGCATAAAAATATTTTGCATGTATGTATGTACATGTGTAATTGGCATACATGTAAGAATTAAATATTACAGGGGGGGGACTCCAGAATTTTAGAAATACCAAAGTGGGGCTTTGCCCAAATTCAGTTGGGAACTACTGCTTTAGAAGTAGCCAGAAACCCAGGAAACAATGGATAAACTACTACTCCTGTTCAAATGACTGGGGAGGAGTGTAAACTGGATGATAGGTGAACCTATCTACTTCTATTGAAGAAAACATAATTAAAAAAAAAAAAATTCAGAGTTTGGGCAGAGACATCAGAAGTAGAGAGTTGAACTAGACTTTAAAACCCTAAACTAAACCAGAAACAGGGGATTCTTGTAAAAATTCATTATTGATTAAAAAAATTTTTTTTCTTAAGACAAGCGTCCATAATATATTCATAAAAGCAATTAAGTTTTCTAATTAAATAATGTCTTAGTTTTATTGCATTTTTTATTTTATGATTCAGAAAAAAATTTGATGACTTAAATTCTCCAAGGACATGTCCTTATAACCAATATCAGAAGTAATTAAGTGATTAAAAAATGAATTTCATGAAATTTCATAAAATTAAATGAGTATTGGTAACAGATGTAAACATTTCATAAATAATTTCATTCATTTATGAATAAATCCTGGAAGTTTCATTAAAATCTGACAATTATCTAATTTCTGTAAGAATTTCAAAATCAATGTGTTTTTCACTACAAAAAGAGGCTCAAATTTCCCGTAAAATTTATGGTCCTGCATTGATATCAGGAAAACAAGATTTTTAATGAAAATTTTCATGGTTCTAAAAAGGTTAAAAAAAGAATAATCTGATCTTTCATTTTTCATCTTAATTGTTTAAATGTTTAAAAGGTTTTGTCAATAAAATTCTGATTTTTATCAAGTTTTGTGCATTTTTTCATCATGTATTTAGGAAGGATATTAGAATAATCCAGAACCTATACTGGCAGCAAACAGCTTGCAGACAGAATAAAAATGGGTTCAGTAAATATACAAAAATAGAAAGGGGTGTAAGACAAGGGTGAGTCTTCTCATTTATTCAACCTATAGTGAAGCAATTCCAAAAGAATTAGTCCTATTAGGATTCACTATTGGCAGCCAGAATAAGATATGCAGATGACACAGTGTTGACAGCAGACACAGAAAAGAAACTACAAGAACTCCTACAGAAAATAGTGGATAAAAGCAAGAAGGATGGTCTAAATGTCAATTGCAAGAAACAACAAATACTTGTTAGCAAAAAGAACAGCCCAAAATACAAATTACAAATTGGAGGTACCAAAATCAAACAGGTTGAATAATTTAGATATCCAGTAAATATTTTAACAAAGGGTGGAAAGTACAACACTGAAATCTGAAGGTGCATTGTGATAGCAAAAGATACCTTCCAAAAGCTAAGCAAAGTATTAAGAGATAGAAAAATTTTGTTTGAAACAAAGAAAAGAGTACTGAACTGTTATGCAATATAAATCCTCGTATATGGTAGTGAATGCTAGACATTGTCTTCACAGATGAAGAAGATATTTGAGGCAACAGAGATGTGGTTCTACAGAAGGATTCTGAGAATACCATGGACTGAACATGTGAGCAATGGAAGTTTTAAAGGGAATGGAAACAAAAGAGATGCTTAGAATTAACATCAAGAAAGATAGTTGAAATTTCTAGGGCACATAATGAGGTAGAAGGGTTTGGAAAATTTGATATTCACAGGGCGGATTGAAGACAAGAAGGACAGAGGAAAACCATGCAAAGCTTACCAAGCAAGCTTGAGTAAATGGATGGCAGAACAAGGTTTAGGAGAGATAACAAAAAAAAAAAAACAATTTATTAAGAGCTACAATGAACAGGAAATTGTGGAGAGCCATGATCACCAATGTCCTGAAGGGACACAGCACAGAAGATCTTTTTAGCAATTTTTTGGAGGTACCTTTATTTAATGAATGAAAATATAGAAGATTCCATTAGAACTGGTGTACTTACATGTACAATGTTTTCAATGTTAAGCAGCCATCCATCCATGTTATAGTACTCAGCAATTTCAATCATTTTGTCTGCAACTGCCATGAATTTAGATGGTGAAGACAAAAACTGTTTGCAAATATTTTTTCCTTTCTCATTTTCTGTAATCAGTGTACCTAACAAAAGAAACAATCAACTGAACAGAAAGTGTTTATATATGAGATTCAGTGACTATGGATGTCATTTGAAAAGCTACAAACTCACTTGGAATAAATAAACCCACTGACAAAACAAAAGAAAATTTAGAAATTGTAAATTTTGTTGTCAAAATGTTTAAATAATAATCAGATCAAAAGAAAGTTAGTAAAAAAAATGTTATTTTCTAAATTCAACCTTTTGCTTGCTATAAATAATATTTTGCCTATTTTAAGCAGTGATGATTTTGCCTAGTTTAAGCCAAATGACTTAGCTTTTTAACATTTTTTAATATTTTTATTAAATGATATAAAAATTTACACTCTTTACACTGTTCAGACTGTTGTCCTCATCTTTATTGTCATATTCACAATGTTTTAACAGTTGTACAATCTGGCCTTTTTCAGGTGATATACATTGGAATTTCACAGTGAACCCTTTATTTAGTCCACTGGGGTAGATTGTTCTATCAGGTCATCCCATAAGTTCTGTCCGAATTTTGAATAAAGAAAACAAGTGACCAAATGTTACATTTAATTACAGATTCAATCAACAATGTATTTTCCCTGATTATCTATGACTTCCTTCCATCTATTAACAAGCTTACTAATTCCATTACTGTAAAATTCTTTTGGCTTTGATTCGAAGAACTCACAAATGTCAGTTTTAACCTCTTCCTGTGTTACAAAAGCTGTTTCTTCCAAATGATTCTGTAAGCTACGAAACAAATGGTAGTCTGAAGGAGCAAGATTGGGAGAATAAGGTGGATGAGGAATTTTCTCCCAACCAAGTTCTTCGATCTTTTGTGACGTGATTCTTGCTGTGTTGGGTCACGCATTGTCCTGATGAAACATCACCTCTTTTCAATTCACTAGAGCAGGTCTTTTTTTCCTCAAAGCTTGGTTCAAACGCTCTAATTGCTGACAGAATATTTGAGCATTAATTGATGCATTAGGTGGTAAGAATTCAAAGTGAATTATTCCTTGGTGATCCCACCAGATTGAAAGAAGAACCTTATGCCCATGAAGTTCTCTTCTCGGCTGTGGCTGGGGTCCTTCCCCTTTACCAAGCCACTGTCTACGACGCTTAACATTTCGATAAAAGATCCATTTGTCATTGCCAGTCACAAGTCTATCCAAAAAAGGTGAAACAAGTTGGCGAGAATGGAGAGAAGAGCAGATGTCAACTCGGGATTTGAGGTTGTTTTCAGACAATTCATGAGGCACCAATTTTCCAAGTTGTTGAAGATGACGATGAACAGTTGTATGGTTTGAACTGAGAACCACTGCCAATTCCTCAACTGATAAAGCAGCATTTTCTTCAAGGGCTGCTTCAAGAAGCTTTTCATCAAACTCAACTGGACGTCTGGTTCGATCTTCAAGGGTGAAATCTCCACCTCTGAATTTTGCAAACCATTTTCTGCAAGTTCTTTCATTCACACATTCCTCTCCATAAACTGAGTGAATGTTTCTAGCTGCTTCGGCTGCTGAGTTTCCTTTCTTGAACTCATAAAGCATTATGTACCTCAAATGATTCTTGGGTACTTCCATGTTAGCAGGGATTTAATCAAACAAAATTTAACTTTATTGTTCTCTGAAATAAAATTTGATCAGTTTAAATGCATCTAAACATAAAAATAATGTTCAGCTCCATTAGACATTATAAAATACTCTTTAAATTTTGTTCATTTTAACAAAAAGTTAAAATTCGGACAGAACTTATGGGATGAGCTGATAGTTCCATGTGCCATGCTTTTTCTGGATATCTCTAGTCTCAGTTAATTCCCTTTAGTAACTTTCCAAGTTTTTTGTTCACCTCTGCTGTGGCCAGGTATTGAACTCACAACTCATTGGGTCAAGTGACTGGATTATCCACTGGGCCAAAGAATACATGGCCCAGGTCAGTTTTCAATAATTTTTATTATAGGTTTAGATTCTTATATAATAAAATGTTTTCATAACCCAACATCACTTAAGCATCAAGGCTGATAAAAAAAAAGAAAAACAAATAAGGATAACTTATATTTCTAGTGGAGCACAGGGATATATTTATATGGGCTTAAGTCTCTGTAAATACATGCAGAATATTTTACCAACATTAGCTGATTAATATTAATTTTATTATGGAAATATTGACTTACGTAATAAACTCTGACTTAATGTGTCAAAATAACCTTGAAAATCAGGTATATTGTTTAAAAATGTAATTTTTCAAGTGAACAAACCAATTCACCTTAAAAATAGATGCAAACAAGCAAAAGACGAATAACTCAACAAAATGTGTTGAGACAAAAACACTGCAGAGTACAGACATTAAAGGCATCCATAAAAAGATTTTAAAAATATAGCAGGACAGATAACATCTTCCTCAACAGGATGCATAAAGTCTAAAGGGGGGACACTCATAATAAATAAAGAAAACAGGAACAAAGCAGCAACACTAGATGAGATTGTAAAAGGAATGTTATCAGCTTTAGATGATTTCAGAATTGATAAGATTACCAAAATAATAAATGAAATTTCTGAAGACCTCAGTGGATCTATGTTCGTAGTGATGTCAGGTGTGAATATCTCTCTCTATCAGACAATCAATATAATGGACCACATTACGAAGCTTATCATAGGGATCCTAAGGAATAGAGTTCATAGTACAAATACTTTGGAGATAGAATAATAAATGTAGTTTTGCTCAAAATACTATAAAAAGAAATGTTATTTTTATTATGAAAATGCTATGAGAATAAGCAATACAAATGCAGAAAGTCCTATACTTACATTTCATAGATTGCACAATGGTATTTGATAAAGTACAACACAAAGATCTACTTGTAATACTAGAAATGCTTGATTTACATGGGAAAGATATTCAAGTAATTTGCAACCTTTATAGAGAACAAATAGCCTGCATGCAAATAAGGAACACATTTAGTAAATGCACAAATATAGAAAGACATATAAGACAAGAATTTTTTTTCTTACCAGATTTATTCAAGCTATATAGTAAGATGATGCTAAGAGAACTAGTAGTCCTACCAGGATTTATTATCAACAAACAATCTTAACAAAATATGTGAATGACACTATATTGATAGCAGACTCAGAAACTGAAAAAATGCTAGACAAGGTAGTGATGGAAAGCAAGAAGAAAGGACTATCTGTAAGAAGATGGAATGTATGGCCATCATCAAAAGAGACAGCCCAAAATGTGATCTACATATTAAGGATGTTGACGTCAAGCTGGTACAAAAATTCAATTTTCTGGGTAGTGGAGATGATGGAAAATCTGACAGCACATAAGTATAGAAAAAGATATCTTCTAGAAAATGAGCAAAGACACAAAAATATTCTTAGAAACAAAAGAAAAATCCTGAACTATATAATATCTAATCTCCTATGGTAATGAATCAATTTCTTCACAGATGAAGAAGAGACTTGACACAACAGAGATAAAGTTCTACTGATGAATACTAAAAATAACATGGACAGGGCATTTGAGCAATGAGGAAGTTTAAATAAAATAGGAAATATACCTATAATCAGAAAAAGAGATAATTAAAATTTCTGGGACAGTTAGTCAATTATGTGCCATGTGTGATACACACTGAGGCGATCATGTATCTTTTGATACATGACTAACGAGGCAGATTTTTTCCCGCAGTAAGTTGGCATTTCTTTCTGCAGTAGACCAGTTGCCATCCAAAGCTATAGAACCTGGTCTGTCCTGCTATTTACCCATAGCTGGGGAAAGAAGAAGAGGATTTATACCTTTTTCAAGGGTATTAGCAAGTGAATGTAATAGATTCGACTGGAATTTGAACTCGGCTCCCTAATTCCTCAATCCAAGCCGCTATCCATTACTCCACAGTGCCTCCTGAGACACATAATGAAGAAAAAGTGCCTAGAGCAGTGGTTCCTAAACTTTCTTTCTGTGGTTGCATTTTAGGAATTAAAATTTGCTCATCCCTCACCAAATTTTATATGTTAAAAAGTATATTTAAAAATAAGTAACATAGGTTTAAAAGGAGGTAAGTGCAGATTTCAAGTCAGAACATTATCATTGATAACTCTCTTCTCCAATTTGCAAAGGCTAGTTACTATATTCTTAATACTTGATATAATGCAAAAATATCACAATGATAAAATCGGTCCATAATTATTTATAACTATCTATAATGGGACTCATGCATGCAATTACAAGTAACCCATAATAATATTTTAAGTTTTGAAGTCATATTTATTTTTGGCATATGAATTTTTTGAAACTGTTTCTAAATCCTTGATTGTCTTTCAATTATTCTACTTCACCTGCTATCCTCTTTTGTTGCACCTATGAGGCATGCCACACAGTTTGGGAACCATTGGCCTAGATAATTTAACACTCACAGGACATACTGAAGGCAAAAGAAATAGGTAGCTCCAGCAAGTAACCTACTTAATGAACTTGTGTGAACAGACAAAGAGGGATGGTAAAGAATTACTTAAAAGACAAGAAGTTGTGGTGAGCCGTATACACCTCCATATAGAAAGAACTTGTTAAATAAAAGAAGATCAAACCAACCTAATATGGGTACTCGATTCCTGTGTGCTGATATAATCCAACCACATGGAGGTATTGTGATAAAGTGATGACTGAAGTAGACAAAGATATCAACATACTGCCAATTAAAGAATCTGTAGCCATTTTCTTTGTTCACACTCTGGACAAATCTAGGAAAAAAAGAGGTTTTTAAATATGAAAACATCAATTGAAATTTTAAACAAAAATTTAAGATACAAAACATTTTTCAGAATTTCAAGCTTATATAGCTTATTTAAAAGTAACATTTGGTTTGTAATGTATCATAAAGTTTTATAAAAAGAACACTTTTCATATAAAACTAGATAAATGAAAACAAACAGACCATGAAGAAAAGTCTTTTTTTTTTCTTAATTTTCTCAAAATTATCAAATAAGATATTTGGATGTCTGCATATATTATTATTCATTGAAATGTAATATTTGAATGACTGCATATATTACTATTCATTGAAATGTAATATTTGAATGACTGCATACATCACCATTCAACAAAAATGAATTTGGTGACCTAGATCTTGTGAATTTAATTCCTGTGACAGGCAGTGTGTATGTGTACTCAGTCGAAACAGGCAAGCTTAACTGAATAGGACTAAATAAAAATAAGAACTAGACGATAACCCTAGACATGGGCAGTGAAATGAGAAGAGTCTAACCCCATAGATTAAATAAAGGATTCAGTTCAGAACTCCCTGTAGGTTATCCAGATCAATATACACCTGAGGAAGATCAGAGGGCACAATGACTGAAATGTGATAACAACAAAAATGTGGACAATAGTCTGAATATAAATAGTGTAAATAATGATAATACTCATCCCAGAAATTCAGACAGAAAAGATGCTATCATCTTTAGAGGATTTGTGGATTGATAAGATTACCAAAATAATAAATGAAATATATGACAGCAGTGAAATTCCTGAAGATTTCTGTAGCTCTATCTCCATAGAAATGTCAAAGAAGCCAGGTGCAAATGAATGCACACTCCACCAAACAATTAGCTTATCACATAAGTGCATAAGTACTTTTCTTTCCAATGTAAATTGCATCATTTATTCTTATACATGTCTTTTCCAAAGCATCAGTGGAAAGGGAATAAAAGATTATTTCAGAATTTGAAAATGGCTGATACCATTTTCTATACTGCTAATACCTTAGCTGCCAACACCACCATTGGTATTTTTAGAAATAAGTATGTTTACATAAATACCTAAAATTAGAATACTTAATGTTTTTGCAGTATTGAATAAAAATATCCATTTTCAGTTTAGCTGAAAATAGCAGTTTGACCACTGGCCTATGGCAGTGATCACTAGTGACCATAAAGGTTAGTTCCACCATGTTCAGCTTTCAGTCAAATTATAGACTACTTTTCAGCTTCCTGGGCCCAACCATCCATAACACAGACAAGCAAACTATCACTGCTTTCTTTATGGTATAAATGCATAAGGATACTTAAAGTAGTAAATAATTCTGTACCTAAGTTCATTTTTTTTTTAATGTTTTTGACTATGGAAAGCAAATATAAACATTCATTCAAATACAAAAATGTATCTAATGAGAATGACTTTTAAAGTTGCCTAAAGAGGACTGCTACTTTCTTAACTTATTTTAACATATTACTTTTACATGCAATCATTATTTAACTTATTTCACAGTATTATGTTATATTTTTATATTGATTTTTATTTAAAATATTGCTTCAAAGATGCATAATCTAAAAGAATTGTCTGCCTTTTTAGTAAGGAGAATTTCTAAGATTGTTTAAAAGGAAATTTTGATCATTTTCAAAATCATCATATTACCATGTTAATTTTTTTTATTTGTTTTTTTGATTAGTATATTGAAATGCTATGACCTGCTTGCCTGGACTGTCATTGCCTTGCTAAACCCCCTAATCTCATCTTGTTAATATGCTGTTCCCTGTCCCAGAACCACCAAAAATATACACTTGGCATTTTCACTTGGTGGTATTTTTGATCTTCATGGTCATCACATGCCAACATTAGCAAGCTGGAAAGTAACCAGATTCTATGGGGATTTTCTGATTTGGATCATTGTGATTCTGCAAAGATTTTAGGCATGAAATCCTCACAACTGTGGTAATTTATTTGCCAATTTCAAAGTACAAACAAACAAAATAACTGAAAAAAAAATGAGTTGACTGTAGTCATGATCCTTTCTTTAGTTGCATAGTGTGTATTTTGCCAGGGCTACATACAGTTTTGAATTTAGACTTTTCCTTCTCTTAAATTTGTTGTTACCCAAGGCTATAGAACCCAGTCTATCCTACTATTCAGCCATAGTTGGGGAGAGAAGAGTTGAATTCATACCTTTCCCAAGGGTATTAGCACATAAGTGAAGGTAATGAACTCAACTGGAATTTGACCTCCTCAGTCCAAGCAACAATCCATTTTTCTACCGTGCTTCTAACAATGGGTTTAAGAATAACAAATTGAAGAATTTAAAAATACATAAGGTGTAAAGAATTATTCATCTTTCTATGTAGTCTGGTTGACTGTCTTTCAACAGAAAATTATTCTTGCAGTAGTTTGTAATAATTTGTCTATGAATTTGTCAGTGGCAGACAAGCAGGAGAAGAAGAATGGATTAAAACCAGACCAAGTTATCTTGTCATCAGGTCTCTTTATATCTTCATGATTTGATTTAGTGTTGGCCAGTCTATAGAAGACATTTTGAACACTTCTGGCATTCTTTTATTGCCTGTTTTTTTGATAAGATATTCATGACCTTTCTTCATCTAAAATACAGATGACCTTTCTTTGTTCAAAATACACATGACCTTTTGTGGAATGTGTTCAACTGAAGGACCTACTATAGAATTTGCAAAGATATAATTTTTTGTGGGGTTTGATAGCATTTTAAATAAACATCATAGATAGTATTATAAATAAACAAAAAAAGAATTCTTTTGATTTTGAGAAATTTTAAAAGGCTATAAATCTAGTCATACTACTCCAGATGTAATTGGGTAGTATGGGGAAGATCTAGTCTTATGAAAATGTAATGAATCCTACTTAGTTTATTTCAGGTTCAAATCTTCTTCAAGCCTTCTCCAAACTCATTTTATGGCTTATTTATTTTTAATCTGTTATTTTTTTCCCTTTCTTGAATCATAATTAGTTTCCCTTAAATTTTTCATAGTTTAATATTATTTATTTCTTGCTTCAAAATCATTAGGCATTATCAGGCATTGAAATGTTGAACCAAGATTACCAGGCTGTTATATCGCTCAAAATTTTAAACCAGCATTACCACCCTGTTATAATGCTAAAGATTAAAGTTGATTATATATGTGCATGAAGATCTATTTAGAATGCCCAGTAAGGAATGTTGATGATAGGATGTAGACTTTGATTTCATAGTTTCTTCAAGTGATATCATTGCAACTATAACCAAAACTATCAAATTATAGCATACTGAATTTATATATATATATATATATATATATATATTTTTTTTTTTTTTTATTTAAATAAAAAGAGACCACTTTAAGGTTCCATGTAATAAATTATTTCACCACAGCCCTTTTAAGGACCGTGGATCATCAGACTTTACTTTACATTTTTTGTTTCAACCTTTGGAAGTAAAGTCTGATGATCCAGATCTTAAAAGGGCTGTGGTGAAATAATTTATTACATGGAACCTTAAAGTGGTCTATTTTTATTTAAATTATTTGCTCTGGATTAAATTGAGGTCTCTGGATTTTATCCTCCTTGGGTCTACCCATACGGATTACCTAGTTTTCCATAAACTATATATATATATATATATATATATATATATATATATATATATATGGGATAACAATATATAAATTTTTATATATTAAGAACAATTTTTAGGGAAAGATGTATGAAAAGAGGGAAAAGGTTTTGTCCTTTAGGACTTTATCAGAGTAAATTTATGTTTATATTGATGCAACTACACATTTGCCTGAATGATTGTTGCTGGGAATTTTAAACTTAAAAGATGACTTTTTTAGCATGACATCTAAGAAAAGACAATACTTTACCTTTCCTAGATATCATGCTACACCATATTAACAGTAGCTTAAAACACATGACAGCCACTTAGTAACATCACTCCATACAGTGACAATCAAATTCAGTTTGTTTACAGCAGCTACCATGTTGCTTTCTTTTAGCCTAGGCTGAGGCTAAATCTGCCACCCCCAGCAGCTTACAAGCACATGGTACCATTTCCCTTTGGTAATATATGTTCCCTGATATAGAAAGAAACTCTAGCTTGCAGTCCTTAAATATGGGAAAAAACAAGACTTGGTGTTTCCTATTCATGGAATATGTCCTCACTTGGGGCATAAATGAATCTGGCCCATTTGAATCTGGAATCCTAAACATGACTTCTCCAGATAGAGGAATATCTCCATGTTATATGTAAGACCCTTCCTTTTTGCTTCTCCTTACACTCTGCTTTGCTGTAGTATGTGATATATTATTCTCTGCATATGTGAATATATCTAACTTTGTATACAATGTAGCCTTATAAAAGTCTCTCTGAGAACAAAGCACATTTGACATTCATTTTCCTTTCATCCATTCCATTCCATCCTTGATCTCCACACACACAGATATAATAATGCCCATAACTTTTGATCAAGTACATTTGGAAGAATAAATCTTTCTTCCATAGCTCTCTCCCATTACACCATCATGACAAAATAAAATCCAAAGTAATCTTCAGATTCTACTTAAGAGCACTCAGAATTTTCAGCCCTCAGTATTTACATGAACAAGAGAAATACATTGAAAATACTTTCAAGCTTCTCCAATACCATAACTATTTCATATTCAATGCAAAACAAAAGGCTAATAAAATATACCAAAATAGAAAAAATGGCCCTTCCTGACAAACTTTAATCAAAATAAAATTTGCCACAGCTATGTTTTAAACAATAAAAGAATTAATACAAAACAAAACAATAAGCTAAAACTTGAAGGAGGAATTTACTTTATTACCTGTAATAATCACCACAAGGAATTTAAATAAAAGATTATGTCAATACAAAAGAGATCTTTTACAGAATGCATTAGCTTCATAATGAGACTGACCATAATTTTGATATAAAAAATGCTACTCTAATTAAAAGAG